ATACATTCTGTAATATGTAAATCTCCAAAATTTTAGTGCCATTGAGATACTCGTATGGATTGTGCAAGGTGCACAGATCAGTTAAGGATGAATTTTGTTCCTTCTTTGAGTAAGTGAAAGACAACTATCCTTTTATGAGTTAATTTGATCAACAACCAGTTGTAATACGTCTTCATTCATGCCATATGAAGGAAGGCACAAAGAATCTTACAGGTTTCATATCCAACAAGATTTATTGTTTAACTTTAGCTGAAGTTTTGGCTAGAGACATTTCTATGTGTAAGCCAGTTACTGGGCAGTTCCCCACGTCAAGGAATCAGCAAATAAAGTTACCTGTCCTGTTCGATTTGCTCGAAATTTTCTTCTGTTGCCAAGATCTTCAGAGGATCTACCCATGTTATATCTGATCCATATCACTCTGGAAGGGGTCCAAAGCCTTTTCTCCTCTCCTGTCAACATAATTACAGAGCCTCTCTCCCAAAATAGCATGTTTTTAGTCCAGTAACCAGAAATCATTAAAAGTATAGCTTGATTTCTCTCCCAGGGGAATTTTAATATAACCACCAAACTCATAACCACGCGCATTCTGATAATTAAAACAATTCAAAGCAATTAAACCAATCTAAACAAATCTGTTCAGACGGCATGCCTCCATCATCTCCTGCCTGACCAACATGAGATCAAGGACTAAGTTATTTATACATCTATGTAACTTAGGGAAATGTGTGGTTTTGTAGGTATGTCTCAGGATGGGACAACTGGGCACAGATGATACCTAATATCAGCCTCTGTTGATGGCAGCAGGCAATTAAAGCCAGAGCTGATGGCTCCTGGTGTAACCTGGGCACTGGATGGTACCCAACTAAAGCAGCTAAAGGAACTGATAGCACCTACTGACTCTTAAATTTCTTTAATTCATTTTTTTTTCATTCAATTCTTCAAATTCAAAAGTTTCTTCAAAACTTCACCCTTCTGTCCTTAAAAACAATTAAATCAAATTTATTTATCCCTCTCTTTTGATTATTTGCTTGTAGGAAGAAGGCTGCATCTACCGTCTGGCTCTCATGGTCTCCTTCCTAGTAGGCTGCCTGACTCTTTGCACAGCAGGGGCTCCCAGCATCTCTGAGCTGAGGCTTTCTCTGGTGGTGGTTGTGTTCCTTTGTTCTAGCTTCAAGGCTTGCAGTAGGAACCACCACTTGACTGGCTCCACTCCCTGAGAAACCAGTTCTCTGCCTCCTAGACTTACATCATTTGCATGTATGTAAATAATTTCTAAATATATATATATATTTTAAGTTGGGGCCATCTGTAGTGGTGAGCTTTGCTACACCACTTTGGCTCCTGGAAGGTTGCACATGTGTGCAGCCACCTGCCTAGGAACTCTTTGGATCAGCAAAGACACACACACACACACACACACACACACACTAGCTTATATTTGAAATGCCTTAGCTAGCTCAAAGACTGAGCAGTTCTAATCCTCTGCCTGGCTATCATAGATTTCCTGCCGGTACTCCTGACTCAACACCCATCTAAATCTATGATTATAATACAAGACACTTCTGGGCAGGCCTTCCAGGAGCCGCATTCCTGCTCACTTACATTTTAGATGGTTTTCCTTCTGCAGCTCTAAATCTGATCTATCTCCCTCCAAAACCTGGGGATTCCGTCTCCTCCTCCCTCCCCCGACATCCCATCCTCTCCTCTCCTCTTTTCTCCTTTCCTCTCTTCTCCCCTCCCCTTCCCCTTCCTCCCCCTCCTTCCTTTTCCTCCTTCTCCCCCGCTCATCCCAGTTCATGCAAATCTAAGGGTCCCGTCCCATCTTCCTTTGCCCAGCCATTAGCCGCTGGCAGCTTTATTAATCATTGAAAACCCAATTGAGGACAAGGACCTTCAGCATTTGGACACACAAATTCCCAATTAAATCAAAGCATTAGAACCAATCCCCAACATGTTTATCCTGCATATTAAGTTTTTTGTTTAAAGTAATTTATTTTGCATATTAAGTTCTAGTAGGCACTTGGGATGCTATGTGGAGGAAGTTAATAGCGATAGGCTCCTCCCCCAACACAACCGTGTCCTATCACATCTCTCTATCCCTGAGGTTTGGTTTTTTTTTTTTTTTTTTTTTTTTTTGTTTTTTGGAGACAGGGTTTCTCTGTGTAGCCCTGGCTGTCCTGGAACTCACTCTGTAGACCAGGCTGGCCTCGGACTCAGAAATCCGCCTGTCTCTGCCTCCCAAGTGCTGGGATTAAAGGCGCGCGCCACCACCGCCCGGCTATCCCTGAGTTTTTAACAGAGCACTGAGTGTGCATCTTCCTTTTTTTGTGACATTGCTAGGTCCACAACCCATGGCCTCACTCAAAGTGTTGCACATAAACGGGTTTATAACAGGCTTGTTTTCTTGTATCTTGCTTTCTTCACACGTCATAAATATGTTCTTGTAGGATTGTAGAAAAGGCCTGTCCAACCGTATGGCTTACCTAAGTAAGACTGCTAGTATTCTGTATAAACTCCTCCTCCACAGTTATCAGGCAGCGGCCAGGTACACTCCTCCACAGTTACCTGGCAACAGGCAGGTAGGCCTGCCCACTGTAAAAGGGGCTGCTTGGCCCCTCCTCTCTCTCTTACTCCCTCTACCTCTTGCCTGCAGGTTCCCTCTGCCCCTTGCCCCTCCCCTCTTCCCTTCCCCCTCTCTCCACGTGGTCATGGCCAGCCTCTACCCCTCTACTTCTCTGCTCTCTCTCCTCTCTCTCTCCTCTTCCCTATCTCCTGAATAAACTCCCCCTCATGGAACCATCTGGTCTGCTGTGGTCTGTTCCAAACTACTCGTGAAAATCTAACAAAGACCAAACACAAACATATATAACCAAACTCAAGGATGCTTGGTCAGAGCTGGAGAGATGGCCAGTGTACAGGAACACTTCCTGTGTAAGCATGAGGCCCCAAGTTCACATCCCAGCCCCACATAACAAGCTGGGTGTGGTCTATGAAGGCCCATAGCTGATAGGGGTACAAGCTGGGACTCACTGGTTGCCAGACTAGCAGAACTACATGAGCTCCAGGTTCAGGGAGACTGTGTGCATCAAGTAAGATGGAGAGTCAGACAGGTCATCAGTGGCCTCTTCTGACTTTTGTGTACATCTATACATACAAACACAGGCACACACACATGCAGGCAGACACACACACACACCAATGTTTAGTCAGCAACCTACATTCACCACAAAGTAAGAAACGGGGGCCGACAGACAATGGATGAGTATGAGGGCAGCCTGGGACTGTGTCTCAGAATATTAGAAAGGGGTCTAAGGTTGTAGGTAAGTTGGCAGAGTGCTTGCCTAGCATGCATAAGGCCCTGGGTTCGATTCCCAATACCCCGTAAACCAAGCACGACAGTCCGTTGCTGTAACTTTGGAAGTGGAAGTAAGATTAGAAGTTCAAGATCACCAAGCTGTGCAGAAAACTGGAGGTCAGCCTGGTCAGGACGGTCTACAAAGGAATAAGCACTAATCATCTGAAAAGCTATCAGTTTTGGTTTTTGTAGTGTTAGGGATGAAGTCTGGGGCCTTGCCGAGCTCCTCCCAGCGCGGCTAGACCCCTGTATCAACCCTTCTGCCTGTCTTGAGCAGCGTGTGGCTCTCCCTGGCCATCTGATAACCTCCAAGTGCAGCAGCTGTGCATGTGCTCAGTCGCTTTCTATTCCAGTTGGAGTAACTGGTCTAGCAGGCTGAGGCAGTCCGTCTACAGCACAGGTGCGGTGGGGGTGGGGGGTGAGGAGGTGGGGGAGGGGTGGGACAAGGACAGACTTCCTGCCGTGGCGGAGAAAGAGGAACAAACACCTCTCTCTACAGTGCTATACTCAGCCAGGCCCTGCTGGAGCCTCACTGACCAGAACCTTCAGTTTATGTACAGCGGCTTTCCCTCAGAACGAGCTCTCACCAGTTAACACTGTGCACACGACTGTGCCCATGCTCATCAGGGCCCATTCTCCTTGTACAGGGGTCAAGAGCAGGCTGGAACATGATTACTAGGAGTGTTCCCATGCTGCAGTCAACGTGCTGTCAAGGGGAACCACGGGTTAGTGACATAGAGACTGAATACAGGAAGGGTAGACTGGGCAGGAAGTGGAAAGCCGGTCGGTGGGCCAGTGTCCAAGATCAGTCTTGGGATGCTGCAGGAGCAGACTGCTGAGTGGGGGAGGAGAGGGTAGGTCTAAGCAGCTAGGGTCTTAGGGCAGGATGCCCTGGAGGGCTGAGAAAGGGTGTGGTGGGGTACATAAGTGGGGGATGGGAAGATGCTGACTACAGAACTGGAGACAGAATGCCCACTGGGGTGTCTGCTGGATCGGGACACTGGCCTCCAGGCCAAGAGCAACCATTTTGTAACTACTACCGTGCAGACAACCATGATCCTGCAGTCAGGAGGTGGTGGTTCAAGACCCACCCAGCTCGGTCTCCAAAATAAAGAGCGATATTAAAATTAACAGTTAATAGCTGGGTGGTGGTGCATGTCTTTAATCCCAGTACTCAGAAGGCAGAGGCAGGTGAATTCTCTGTAAACTCAAGGCCAGCCTGGTCTTCAGAGTTAGTTCCAGGACAGCCAGGGCTACAGAGAAACCCTGTCTTCAAACAAAAAATGATGGTAACAGTTAAAGTTAGGGATGGTGGCCCTCATCTGTGATCCCAGCACTTGAGAGGCTGAGACAGGAGGATTGCTGAATTCCAGACCAACCTAGGCTATGCACAGAGATGTCTCAAACAAGACAAAACAAAAAAGAAAACGAACAATAAACCAAACACTAAATGACGGTAGTTAATTTTATATGCTAAGTCTGAGGCAGGAGGAACGCAAGTTCAGGTCCAGCTTGAACATACAGTGAGACCCTGTCTCAAGGGAAGGGAGATGATAGAATAAGGCAAACACACATATATTTGAGTATAAAAATTTGTTTTAATTTGTATAAATAAGACGAAGTGTTCTACTTAAATAAAAATGCATCTGGGTCTTCTTGTATAACACAGAATTCCTCCACGGGCACCTGCTGACCCGGCGGCCAGCAGCTCTGCTTACACGTGTAAACGAGAATCGTCCCAAACTCCACAGTAAGACCTGAAAGACATCACTTGCTCTAGATTCCACAAGGAGAGTGACGCTGGAGCCTCAGAAGCTCAGATCCCTGACTACACAGCCAGTTCAAGCTGGCCAGGCTATATGCCCCTGCCTCCTAAAATAAAAACAAAAGGAAACTATATCTGTATGTATGTGTATATGAAAAACTGCAATAATAAATAAACTTAATTTCTTTAGAATAAAACCAAAACCCCATAAAAGCCAGCAAGATGGCACAGTGAGTCACAGCTCACGCTGCCCAAGCCTAAGGACCTGAGTTTGGAACGCCAGAAACTATGTACAAAGCCAGGTGAGCCGGGTGTGGTGGTGCACACTTTTAATCCCAGCACTCAGAAGGCAGAGGCAAGCGGATCTCTGAATTTGACACCATTCCTGGTTTACAGAATGAGTCTCAGGACAGCCAGGAGTACAGAGAGAAACTCTTGTCTCGGAAAATCTAAAACAAAAGCAGACAAGGCAAAGCCTGTAATCCTAGTCCTCCTAGAGCTGGGAGGTGGAGACTGAGATATCCAAGCCAGCTAACCTGAGTACAAGGACGACAGCAAATGAGAAGACCTTGCTTCAGACAGTGCCTGGGCTTGCCCTCTGATCTCTACACATGTGCTATAGCATGTGAGCACACTCACACATGTGTGCATATATAAAAATAAATATTAAGATAAAAAGAGGCTCCATGGGCGGAGATGGTACACACCTTTAATCTCAGCACTCAGAAGGCAGAAGCAGGTGGATCTCTGAGTCTCTAAGTATGAGTTCCAGGACAGCCAGAGCTAAACAGAGAAACGCTGTCTCAGAAAAAAACAAAAACAAAACAAAACAGTGTGTCAGGGATAGAGCTCAGCGGCACAGTGCCTGCCCAGCGTGGAAAGGCTACAAGTTCCATGCCCAGGACTGCTAAAAGGAAGAACATAGGAAGAGAAAATGCTGAGTTTTGATGCCTAGCCCTGGAAAATAGAAAAAGCAAAACCAAAGTTTCCCCAGTGAGTCCCAGGCCAGCCACAGCAGCTTCATACAGTGCCAAGAAGATAATAAAAAGCCAGGACCCCAGGATGATACCCCTAGAAGGCTGGAAGGAGCAGAACTTCTGGAGATGAGCCCTAGTGGGGCAGATCCTTAGGTCATCAGGGTCATAATCCCAAGAAACCAGACCTAATCGGTCCTACCCTATCTTACTAGCTAGCCACGTGGTTCTACCATATGTAGCCTAGAGACTTAGATACGGTCTTATTATTAGCCCTGGTTAGCCTGCCTGGAACTTGCTATGTAGTGCAGACTATGCCACCATGGTTGGCCACCCCTAGTCTCAGATATTTTACTATAGGAATATGAAACTGACCAATATATTAATTTATTATAAAACTATATTCTTTATTTTATATATATGTACATGCACCAGAGGCACGCATGAGCCTAAGGAAGTCAGAGAGAACATCAGATCCCTTGAAACTGGAGTAACAGGTAGTGTAAGCTCTCTTGTGGGTGCTGGGAATTGAGCTTGGGGTCCTCTGGGAGAGCAGCCAGTACTCTTAACTGCTGAGCCACCCCTCTAGCCCCAACCCAACCCTAATTTGATCATCAGGATCATAATCCCAAAGGAGACCAGACCTAACCTGTCCTACCCTACCTTAACTTGTTCTCTTTTTGAAACAGTCTCTGTGTTGTCCAGTCTGTCCTCAAGCACTGTCCTGCCTCAGTGTCCTGAGAGAAGAGGACTAGAAGCATGTACCTAGCCACAGGCAAGCAGGTTATAATTAATTTATATTTGTCGTGTATGGGTGTGCACGTATCCTGTAGGTGCACACCTGGAGGTCAGAGGACAGCTCTGCAGAGGCAGCTATCTACATGGTTCTATCCCTTATGTGTAAATTAGCTTCTTCAGTCTCGACTCATCCAAATGGTCATTGTTAGTGTGGTATTAGAATTTTGCAGGAATACAAATTTCTTACAATTTAATGTCTCAATCCTTTTATGACAAGCTCAGTACAGGCCTTCTTACCTAGATTAGCACCGCTCAGCATGCTGACCAGTGCTGGCATCAGCTGAAACTCAAACGTCCTCTGGCCTCCACAGCCACTGCAGGCTGGGATCTCAGAGACTTCAAATGTGGGGCAGGACAGAAAGAGAGGCTCTCCACTCCACGAATACCTAGGGCGAGGAAGGGAAGAATCATGCATCAGAGCAAAACACAGCAACCCAGCATCTGGGCCACTGTACAGCATCAGGAGGAGAACTAGACAGCAGGGAAAGCCACACTGGGGCGAGGCATCACTGCTGTCTGTGGAGAACATCGAGGGGACTGAAGACTTGTTATCACTAGGCTCAGTGCCACCAAAGGCCATAAAGAGATGAGCTTGGGGTCACTGAACCCCTTTATATGATACTCTTCTTTTTTTTTGTTTTTCTGTTTTTTTTGAGACCGGGTTCTGTGTGTAGCCCTGGCTGTCCTGGAACTCAGAAATCTGCCTGCCTCTGCCTCCCAAGTGCTGGGACTAAAGGTGTGTGCTACCACTGCCCAAGATGTAATGCCTAATGTGCTGTCTCCTTTTCCTGCTTTCCATAGCTACTATTTTATTTGATTTGAGACAGGGTTTCATTATGTAGCTGCTGGCCTAGAGCACACTATGTAGACCAGACTGGACTGAAGAGATCCACCTGCCTAATCCTAATTGCCTAATTACTGCTTAGTTAGTAACAGGCCGTCTTGTTGAAAGTGTCCTGCTCCTGTGTGGGGGTCTGGAAGAGAGTCCTCTTTGCCTAGGGGCAGAGCAGGTCTCAGAGGATCACTTCAGTCCAGGGTACAGTCTCTCCCTCACTCTCATCTGGAAGGGTCATCTATCTTCCAAGACTGCTCATCCGGGAGTCCAAGGTGACTGCAGGGTTAGGACAACGACTTATCTTCAGTCTTGTGGGGGTGGGGGGACACAGGTTGGACAAGACACTTACAGGCTGGCCTTTGAGCCCTGCCCTAAGTTACTTCATACAACATGAAAGCGCTTCAGGCTGAGCCATGCCCTAGCTCCATTTTGAGGGCAAACTCAGAAGCTGGGTGGCTCTCCCTCACCTTGAGAGAGACAGACAGCACATCCCTGAAAGCAGAGAGGCCACACTCCGAGATCACAGAAGTAATAGGAACCACATGGGCACACAGATGCACTCATACCACATCAGCAAAACCAGGACCAGAAAGGAATCCAACACACCCAACCAAGGACCTGAAATCCTCACCTGGACCCCACAAAGAGGACGCCTGGGTGACTGACCCCCAGCAGTTACACACTGCTTGGTGTATATTGCCAACTGTGCAGTCTTTGGCTCAGCTGGGCCATGACTTACTGAGAAGTGCCCTCCGTCCCAGTAAACCCAGCACTGTTACTCAGCTGTGTGGCCTCCGAGCTCTTGCACCTTGCCTCTGCAGCTTGGTGTCTGCAAAGCTCATCACCTGATATGCTGGCATCCACAGCTTGGTGAGGTATCTGCAGAAGTTCACTACCTGGTCTATTATCTTCATATCTAGACATCACAGTGACTTCACTGGGCTCTCCATCCACTCCCCACTCGGCCTCCAGTAAGGCTTCAGTACCTGTCTGTAGCCATTACGTAACCCACACAGAGATGCAGGTCTGCACATATGCATATTATATGCACCTGTAGGTGCTACGTGATATAGAACCTGACTCTGATTAAGACCCAAATCAAATAACCCATGTTTGCCAACAGCCAGCTATCAGGGGAAATGGATATTATTTGGCTAACTAAAGCCAGAATTACCCACACTTAAGTATAGTTTTTAAAGCCCAGGCATGGGGTACACACATAAAATTCTAATATTTGGAAGGTTGAGGCAGGAGGATCAGAAGTTCAAAGTCAGGGTCATCAAGAGAACTCAGCAAGTGAAGACACTTGCTACCACATCCGAGGAGCCGAGTTTGATGCTCATCCCTGTGATGGCAGATAGGATTAGAGGAAAAAGCCACACAGATACTCAGTTCAAAATGTACATTCTGGAGCTGAAGAAATGGCTCAGCGGTTAAGTGTGTGCACTCGTCTTCCAGGAACAGAGTTCACCTCTTAGCACCCACATCAGTTGCTTTTAACTTCAGCTCTAGTCAGCATGTCTGACACCTTCTTCTGGCCTTTAAGACTAACTGTAGACACACACACACACACACAAGTTTGAACGGAGGCTAGGGGTGCACCCTTGCTTGCCATTTGTGAGTTCTTTTGATTCCCAACACACACAAAGTGGAGTTGGGGAGAACAGAGCAAAAAATCAGTTATACACACAAGCTGAGGATGTGTGTGCCAAGACTATCTACTTAGCATGTGTGCAGCTCTGGGTTTGACGCCCAGCACTGTATAAGCTGGACATGGTAGTGCAGGCATATAGATCTCAGCCCTCTGGAGATGGAGGCGAGATAATCAGAATCTTTTCAAAGTCTTTGCTTATTTATGTATGTGGGTATTTTGCCTGCATGTATTATGTGTGTAGCACACAGAAGGGCAGGGTTGGTGCATTGGTGAAGACCCTGAAGCTCTTAACTCCCCCGCTGAAGAGCGCAGTTACTATTAGAACGTTATGCAGGGCAAACATCCAGTCTCCTGGGAAGGGTGTCCATTAGCTTAGCTTCTGGATAAGGTTTTTTTTTTTTTTTTTTTAAAGATTTATTTATTTTTATGAATGTGAGTACACAGTTGCTGTGATCAGACACACCAGAAGAGGGCATCAGATCCCATTACAGATGGTTTTGAGCCACCATGTGGTTGCTGGGATTTGAACTCAGGACCTCTGGAAGTGCAGTCGGTGCTCTTAACCACTGAGCCATCTCTCCAGCCCCTGGATAAGGTTTTTAAGAGCTGGGCCCTCCTAGGCCAGCTTTACTCTGAGGGAAAGCTCAGCCTATATGCAGGAGTGCCCTCCACCCCGGTAAGGCCTTCTTGTCCTCCTACACTTGAGGCATCCAGGTAGCAGTCGAAGAAATCCTCTAGGCCAGCCTGGGTGTGGTTAATGAGCCAATCAGCTGCAGAGAAAGACTTCACAACCCACATCTGCAGAGCAGGGAAGGTTTACTGCTTTTGGTGCTATCGAACCACACAGTTCAAGGATTTCAAACTCATTCAACAGTTCAAACAGCATTTTTCTCTGTTTTCTGTCTTTAGAGTTACTGTTTTCTTTGATGAGCATGAACTAAGAGACAGAACCACAGACAAATGCACAAAAACACCAGTCATGGTGGGCTCAGTGGGTGAGAGCACTGACTGCCCTTGCAAAGGACCAGGGTTTGTTTTCCAGCATCCTCAAGGTAGCTCACAACCATCTTGAATTCTAGTTCCAGGAGGTCTGAAGCCCTCGTCTGCCCTCTACAGGCTCCTGCATGCACACGGTGCACATGAACTCACGCATGTACACATAAAAATAAAAACTAGGTGGAAAGGGATAAAGTAAGATACCCGGAAGTCTCCTCTAGCGTCCACATGCAGTGCGTGCACAGGCGGCAGACACTCAAGAAACAGCACCGTAACTGACGCTGACCCGTACTGGGGTCGGTGTGAATCAGGGAGCTTCTTTACAGTCAGTTCCAAGACAGAAAAGTTCCCAGCACCCACCTGCAGCGGCTCACAACCACTAGTTTCTGGATTCCATGGGCACCTGTAGTCATGTGCGCACACACACACACCACAATTAAAAATAGTGAAAGTAAATTTTAAAGAGGATGAGTGCCTCACTGTTTCTGTGGCTGTCCAGCCGATCCTCCTGCCTTACCTTGAGGAGTGCCTGGGCCGCTAAGCGCTGGCCAGCATGCTGACACTACAGTAAACACGTGTCTTCTTTACCTCAGAATCTGCTCCTGGCAAACAGAAATTCTCTTCATGAACTTGTAAAATGTCGGGTCTCCACTGCTAATGTTGGTCTTCTCGTACTTTTCATCCCCATCCCTAGAGCTAGCGAGAGAAGCAGAGACCATGTGAGACTATCAGTGTCTGGGGAACTGGAGAATCTGCAAGAGGAACAAGACACATTTCTGCTTTCTGTATTGTGTTAATTGTGTGTGCTGGGGGTTGGTCACATGTGCCATGGCTCCGATACAGGGGTCAGAGGCCAACTTTCAAGCGATAGTTCTCGCCCTCTTTAGTGCTTTGGCATATGGTCTTTCTAGGTCCGGGCTCTCACTGGAGCCAGCAGAGCTTATGAGGAAAGAGGAGAAACAGCACTGCCCTTCTCATTTTATAAGTGAGAGCTGAAACTCTGAAGTAGCCTCAGGGTCTGAGGCAGTTCTGGACTCACAGCAAAGTCACCAAACAAGGTGCATCTCTTCTCAATCATCTGCCTCTGCTCTAAAGACGCTGAAAACGGAAGGCAGTCAGGAAGTGGCCTAACAAGATGGCACTTGCTGATTATTTTAAAGACCCGAGTTCAATCCCCAGAACCTACACACTGAAAAAAGAGAAAAGGCTCTTACAAGAGGTCCTCTGAATTTCCCATGAACCATGGCAGCACGAGCAGACTCACACCATAAACACATGCACACATACACATTTCTTGTCAAGGATTTGAAAAAAATAAAATCAGAGCCAGACGATGGTGGCGCATGCAGAGGCAGGTGGATCTCTGGGAGTTTGAAGCCAGCCTGGCTTATAAAGTGAGTTCCAGGACAGTCAGGGCTACACAGAGAAACCCTGTCTCAAAAAAAAAAAAAAAAAGAAAAAGAAAAAAAGAAAGTAAGATGCAGTAAATGAAGTCAGAAGAGGCTGTGGATGCAGCTCAGCTGGAAGTGTTGCCCACCAGTCAGAAGGCCTAGGTTCGGTCCCAAGCCCTCATACAACCTGCCGTGGCAGTCTCTGCACTGATAGTGGAGGCAGAAGGATCAGGAATTCAAGGTCATCCTTGACTACAAAGAGCTTAAGGCCAACCTTACCTAGATGAGACTGTCTCAAAAACAAGACATCAAAATCAAAACAGGGTTCAGGAGACGGTTCAGTGGGCAGAGGTACCCGCTACCTTTCCTACAACCCCATGGTGGAAGAGGAGAGCAGACCCCCTTCCACGCCTGACCTCTACATGTGCACCCCATGTGTGGATGTACATAGTAAGCAAATGTAAAAAAGAGTGAAAAGTGAGAAGAGAATGGGGCTAAGGAGGCCGAGGGTGGTAAAACCCTCACTTAGTGCGCTCTAGGCTCTAGGGCCCTTCCCTAGCACCCAGACACAAGACAGGAACAAACGAGCAAATACAAGAGCAGAAAAGGAGCTAAAGAAACGCTAGTGGCCTTTTAAAGACCACGATGACTTCTGTTTGCTCATCTGGGTTCAGGTCTTGCAGGCATTCAGCAGCAGGCCTGCAGGTTAATGCAGGCTGGCTGATACAGATAGCCCAGGCCAGCGTCTGCTCTTCTCATCTGACGGGAGCGAAACAGAAAAGCCCAGTTACAACCCTCCTCTCTAGAACTTGCCATGGGTATCAAGACAAAAGGGAACCAACTGTGGCAGGTTCCTGCCAGCGCCTCTCAACCTTGTTAGCAAGCTCTCACCCTAGGGAAAGCAGCTGCTCCATGTCAACACCTTCTCTCTGCTGGTACTCCTGCAGAAGGCTGTGGGCATGATCAAGATCCATGAAGTTGCCATAATCCTCCTCCTCCACGACACAGATATAATAGGGCAGGAACTGTGGCGCTTCCATGGGGGCTGCCAACCCTTCCCCGGAAGGGGAAGGGCGGGTAACAGCCAGGGCAGTGTCCTGCAGGTGAAGAGCTTGGAGCTTCTCGGTCCAGTCTAGCACTCTGACGTCATTAGAATCACTTCCCAGATCTGAGGTGGGTGGCGGCGGAGGCGTCTCCTCGGTGTCACTTCCCCAGTCATGTGAGCCTTCACACCAGTTCTCGGCTGCAAGGCCACTGCCCTGATTCTAGAACAGTGAATGAAAACAGGCCACTCACACCTCGACGGCTTCACCAATACCTTCAGCTTCCCCACCCACTCATGTGTCTTCCCAGGGAGCCTGCGCATCAGTCCCTTCCTCTCAGGAAGTACTAACATATGTGAAGTGAAATTAATTCCAAAACCCCAACTGTGCAAGAGGTGATTTAAACACTGTCTTTTCTTTTCCAGGGCAATGTATCATATGTAGGTCCAGGTGTCTTCACCTATCTGTCCCACAATCTTTCTGTTGTGCTTCATGTATTATAGGGACACACACACACACACACACACACACACACACACACACACAAAGGACTACATTTCCCAGACTTCTTAGCAGCTGGGATGTTAGATTAGATGTATTCAGGGGTTAGCTACTCAGGCCTGCCTAAGAGACAAGAGTGTAATGGAGAGTAATGCCAGAAGCTCAAGCTCATATCAACCCTGGGGAGGTTGAGGCAGGATGATAGCCATGAATTTGATGTCAGCCTGGGTGACACAGATTTCCAGGCTACCCTGAGGTATGGATCCAGAACCTGTCTCTAAACTAACCAGAGCGGGAGGGTAGGTTCTGAAAACACAGGTAGATAAAGACAGCATGCCGGGCTCTGTGACAAGGGCAGCAGCCATTCATCAAACCACACCTAAGTATCCTAACGCAAGAGGCAGCCTGGCAGATGGGCCAGTTCTGAGAGGTGCTTCCAGAAGTCCTTGCTGGACTTTTCCCTGAGGCTATCAATTTAGCTAGTAAAGATTTAAATGTCTTAGCTTAAAAAGAAAAAACAAAATCGAAGTATTTTTCTACCTCACACACAACCATGTGTGCCAGGCACATACATGAATATATATGCATATATAAGTATATACATTTCCCTATATTTATTCAAATGAGAAAATCAGTAAACTGTATGTCTCAAGTATAAAAGAAAGTCACAAAAGCTGGAGAGATGACTTGGTGATTAAGAGCACTGGCTGTTCTTCTAGAGGACCAAGGTTCAATTCCCAGCACCCACGTCAGGCAGCCCAGGAGATCCACGGTGTCCACAGACACCTGCACTGATGATCACATAGACACACGCATGTATGTATAACTGAAAGTAAAATCATAAGAAAAAGTCACAAAACTGTGATTCCGAAAGTCTAAAACCCATTCCATTGCACATTAAAGAACCAGGTTTTAAAAGTTTTGTATTAGGGGCTGGAGAGATGGCTTAGCACTTACATTAAGCAGTTCTCAAAACACCTGTAACTCCAGCTCAAAGGATCTGACACATGTGTGAGGCATACAACACAAACAATTTTTTTTTTCCAGACAGGGTTTCTCTGTGTAGCCCTAGCTGTCTTGGAACTTGCTTTGCTCTGTAGACTAGGTTGGCCTCAAACTCAGAAATCCACCTGCCTCTGCCTCCCAAGTCTTGGGCTTAAAGACATGTGCTACCACCACTTGGCCTAGATTCACTCTTATTTTATGGTGTGGGTGTTTTTCCTGCATGCATGTATGTCTGTGCACCATTGTGTGCTTGGTACCAGTAAGGCCAGAAGAAAGCACTGGAACCCCTGGAACTGGAGTTACAGATGATTTTGAACTGCCTCTTGAGTGCTGAAATTCAATCCTGAGTCCTCTGAAAGAGCAACTAGAAATCTTAGTTGCCCAATCATCTCTCCAGCCTCCAAAAGTAATCTCTTTAAAAACTTTCCTAAGGAGCTTGAGAGATGGCTTGCTGGTTAAGAGCACTGTCCACCCTTCAAGAGATCCTGAATTCAATACCCAACAACCTCACGTTGGTTCACAACTATATATACTGAGTCTGACGCCTTCTTCTGACACCCAGGTGTACATACAGATAGAACACTCATACTTACAGTAAATAAATGAATCATTTTAACCGTCTTAAATAGAATGCGGTGGTTCACAGCGGTCATCAGAGGACTGGGGAGATTTAAGCCAACGAATTTCTGAGAATTAAAAGTCAGCTTGGGCTAGAGAGGGGAGGCTGTGTCTCAAAAAAACAGACCGACAGCGGTTGTCTTCAACGAGTTGCTGGAAAAGATCCTCAAATTATAGGAAAAAAAACCCATAATGTGCCAATCAGAATCGCTTTACCTGCGCGTTCCGAGTCTCTTTCTCTGGCACTTGCAGGCACTGGGAGCGGAACACCTTCCAGCTTAGAGGCAAGACAGATGCCGTGAGGGTTCCACCCCGGACGTCCAGCCCCGCCTAGTGTCACCCGGCCCGCCCGCCCCCTCCAGGGACGAGCCTCCACTACAGGACTTCCCCGCCTACCTGCGCGTCTGGCTGTCGCCGCAGCCCGGACGGGCACAGGCGAACACGAACAGGAGCCGATGGAACGGGGAGCCTTCCAGCGGGCAGTACAGCTGCACGACGAGCGAGAGCGGCTGTGCGCAGCGGTCACACCGCGGCCCCGGGGTGGAGACGGCCGGCAGGGCGTCCTGAGAAGCGGGGCAGCTGCTCAAACCCGGGGGACTCACTCCGCTCCCTCCCGAGGGACACCCTTTCCACCGACCCCGCCACGGCCTCTGCCAAGGCTTCGCAGCCGCACTCACCGGGACGCCACCCAGCTTGCTAGCGGTCCAGGCGGCGAGGCCCTTGGGGCAGCCCTTCACCGCCGCATCCCGGAGTCCCAGGAGCACACGCGTCCGGACGGCCGCCATAACAACTGGGCTCCCACGTGTCAGCGCGAGCTACGGTGGCCGACAGGGAGCGTTATCTGCGCACGCGCGCCGCCTGCTCCTCTCCCGACTCCGCCCCGAAGCTGTCGTGGGCGGAGACCACATGTTTTACTTCTGATATCCAGAGACTGGATCTACAGAAAGGTTTAACTAGAAATCGACAGCTGGAAACAGGATGACGGCATTGGCAATCAGCAAGAAACATAACAAAATGTCTTTAATTTTTTTAAAAATAGTCATTTATTTTTTTCAATTTTATGTGCATTTGGTGTTTTGCCTGCGTGTAGGTCTGTGTGAGGGTGTCAGTTCTTGGAGTTTCAGGTGATCATGAGCTGCCCTCTGGGTGATGGGCATTGAACCTGAGTCCTCTGAAAGAGCTCTTAATTCCTGAGCCATCAGTCCAGCCTCCAAAAGTCCTTAATTTTGAAAGATGCATTTAAAACGCGAGTGAAAGGCTGACGTTAAGATTTGAGCATGTGCCACGGTGTGGTTATCTATAGCTTTATTCCCAGCACTCAAGAGGCAGAGGCAGGCAAACAAACCTCTTATGAGTTCGAGGCCAGCGGTCTACAAAACGAGCCCAGGACAGCCAGGAAACCCTGCCTGGAAAAACAAAACAAAAAAGTTGATCATGTACATAGGTTGTTCACAATTGTTTACAACTCCAGTTTGCGGAGGGTAGGAAGGAGGGGATCCAATGCCAATTCTTTTTTCTGGCCTCCGTGAGTACCAGGAGCACACATGATGCACGTTAAAATAAATAACAAAAATGGTAGTGATGAGTTTTACTAAAATAAATGAGCACGTTTGAAAAACATGTATTGCCAGGTAAGAGTGAACAGTTTGGACTTCATAGTGAAACTCAGGCCAGCCCTGGCTTGAGAGTATCTCAAAAACAAACTAACCCTGAAATTGGGACTGGATCAACCTACCTGATCAGTAACTTTCAGGCTAATGAGACCCTGTCTTTATAAATAAAAGGACTGATAGGATTCAAGGAATGACATGAGAGGTTATCCTATGTCCTACACACACACACACACACACACACACACGCACACGCACACGCAAATGGAAGAAGCTGTAAATACTACTTTAAGATTTGTAAATGCTGAGAAAGTGTTATTTTTCCTGAGTGGAGGACACCACCAGCCTTCGTTCTGTTGGTTGGCCTTGGTTTATTACTCTACTCAAGTGGCAGACTTAAAAGGCTCTGTGAAGTCTGACTGTGATGTTCGCTTCAGGTTGAATCAGCAAATTTGGCTTGGCAGGTGTTTTATCTCAGCTAGTATTTCTCAAGGTGCATGGCGTGTATGTGGGTGTAGTCACATGTGCAGGGAACTGAATTTAGAAGAAGTGAATAGACGGAGAAGATAAACTTTTCATTTGTGTGAACGTGTATCTATGTCTGTGTCTGTGCGTGTTCGTGCGGGTGCCCGAAGGCACTGGATCCTCTGGAGCTGGATTATATGAGGTCGTAAGCTGCAAGCTGTGGCGACAGAACAAAAGTTGGGTCCTTTGCAAGAGCAGTATATATCCTAACCCCCTGAGCTGTCTCTAATCTCAAAGCGTATTTTAAAAATCCATATAAGAAATAGACAGCCGGGCTGTGGTGGCGCACGCCTTTAATCCCAGCACTTGGGTGGCAGAGGCAGGCGGATTTCTGAGTTCAAGGCTAGCCTGGTCTACCAAGTGAATTCCAGGACAGCCAGGGCTACACAGAGAAACTCTGTCTCAAAAAACCAAAAAAAAAAAAGAAAGAAATAGACAAAGTTCTGATTCTTACCAGCCCAGTATTTGGTTTTATTACTATGAAAAACCAACTTAATGAAGTCATGACTTATTTTTGTTTATGGTTTTCAGGTCATGATGTCCTGGTTAGCCTTGTTAACTTAGCACAGGCTAGAGTCACCTGAGAACCCTCAATCAGGAATTACAAAGATGAGAGTAGTTAGTGCCCACTGTAGGACATACGCGCGCGCGCACACACACTCACACATATACACATGAGCTGCAGAGCAAGCCAGCAAGCCGTTGCTCGTTGGCTCTTTCTAGGACTTCCCTCAATGATAGATCATGACCGGAAAGTATAAGCCAAAGAAACCCTCTCCTCCGCAAGTGCTTGATCACAGGAACAAAAAGCAAACTAGCACATGTGGGTTCCAGTGCTTTAAGAAACCATGGCAGTATGAAAATGTTAGAAACTGTTTATTTCCACAAAGGTGGCAGCCAGGATACAGGGATAGAAGAGTCTTTAGCAAAATCTCTCAAAGTCACCTCTTTCCCTCTCAAAGGAAACGTTTTTTTCTCCAATTCAGCCACATCTCCTGCTCTCCACCACTTTCCAATAGTGCCACCTGCTGGACGCAAGCCTTTAACGCACGAACCTCAGAGAAACCTCCCCACAAGTAGTCATGCCTGTGTGTGTACCTGATTGAACCCAGTCCTTGAGCATGCTCTACCACGGACCTGTATCTGAGACCCTACGACCTACCACCCTTTTCTTGAGACACGTTTCCACTGTATAGCTAGACAAACCTGGAACTTGCTCACTCAGCCCAAGCTAGCCTCAAATAAGTACCATTTACATTTCATTATGGCATATGTGCGTGCGTGTGTGTGTGTGCGTGCGTGCGTGCGTGTGTGTGTGTGCACACACGCGTGTTTGCCATAATACATGTGACAAAGTTGTTTGGGATCAGTTCATCCCATCCACCTTTATATAGGTCTCAAAGATCAAATTCAGGTGACTTGTTGTGTGTAAAAGCCTGTTGAGTGTTAAATGCCTTTTGTTCCAAGGACCGAGAAGAGCTCCCAACCCTTTCTGCTCTCCCTGCCTTTAGCTTCAGGAGGTGTCCCCATTACCAGTCCTCCCCCGAGCTTCCCTTGAATCCGCAGATAAAAGACACAGTTTGTTACTTTACAACTTGCCTTCTTGGCACAATTGCTGTGCGCAGATATCTCCCGCCTGGAAAATCGTGGGCTTACCAATTTATTATCTCCATCTCTCCACCTGCCCTAAATTTAGTGGCTAGTCCCACCCAGTCCTTGTCAAAAATCCTTGGCCATCTGCCTGTAGTGGTGGCCACAGGCTCTAGCTGTCGCGCCCTGCCCCCTCAGACCTCACACGGTTGTTCCTTCTTCCTCCAAAGCACGGCAGAAAGACCCTTGCTCTTTCCTTTCATCTGCCTTTTTTCCTCCTGGGACTCATAAGTCCCACCTGTACCTTCCACCCAGCAATTGGCTGCCGGCCTTCTTTACTGACAAATCAAGACCCAATTGTGGAACAGGACTTTAGCTTCAGTGGCCAAGCTTGTGTACAGTGGTGGTTTGAATAGCATTGGCCTCCTAGCCCCATAGACTCCTGTTTGAATGCTTGGCCCATACGGAGTGGCACTATTAGGAAGTGAGGCTTTGCTGAAGGGTGTGTCACTGTAGGGGCGGGCTTTGAGGTCTAACTTGCTCAAGCTAGGCCTAGTGTAGCGTTCCTTCCGATCAAAATGTTGAACTCTCAGCTCCTTCTCCAACACCGTCTCCCTACATGCCATCATGGTTTCTGTCATGATTGTAAGCCAGTCCCAATGAAATGTCCTCTATAAGGTGTCTCTTCACAGCAATAAAACCCTTAGACATGTACCAAGTCTTTTTATTGACTGGCCATCTCTCGAGCCTAATTAACATAGAGGAAAGTAGAATGATGGAACTGTCACTCAGTCTCCCAAGGACTCACTGACAGCCAGGATGTGAAGTGTGACAGTAATGACACCCTGCTAAAACTGTCTTTTGAAGGGATTAAGTGAGTTCATCACTGGGGTTCTTTTGGGCTTTTAAAGATTTATTTAATTATTTTATATATGTGAGTACACTGTAGCTGTCTTCAGACACACCAGAAGAGGGCATCGGATCCCATTACAGATGGTTGTGAGCCACCATGTGGTTGCTGGGGATTGAACTCAGGACCTCTGGAAAAGCAGTCAGCGCTCTTAACCGCTGAGCCATCTCTCCAGCTCCATCCCTGGGTTTTGTTACCAAAACCAAACCGAAGTAAAAAACAAACAAAACCTACCCAGTACAGCAGAATTACTTTTTCCACATCACCAAGGTGAAAAAGAGAAGGAGGTGAACACTTGACTGGCCAGATCCCTGTCCCCAGCCTACCCAACCACTTTTTAATTTGTTTTTGTAGCCCTGGCTATCCTGGAACTCACTCTGTGGACTAGGCTGGCCTTGAACTCAGATAGGCCTGCCTCTGCCTCCCGAGCGCTGGGATTAAAAGCATGGGCCAGTCACCCAGCTGTCCCCTCTTCTGAATGATCAACTCTCTGAGACTCTGGACCAGACCATCACTGAGTAAAGAGCCAACCAAGGCATAAGCAGGGTCCCCCACACCTGACAGATAAAGTACTGAGTTAGTAAACTGAAGAGGCTGAGCCCATGCCTCCTCTAGGGGTCTTTATTTTAGCTGGGATGTGAATACAGGTCAGAACAACACAACACATCAAAGCCCTTCCACCTGCTTCAACAGGGAGGGCGCACAGTGTGGGCAGACGGCAGTTCCAGACCAGCTTCTCCCAAAAGCCTTGTCGTCCAAGCCAACTACCGGTGGTGAGCTCTGGGCAGGGAGGGGCAGTACCATGCAGTGCATACGGTGAGAAGGGTCATGAAGGACCAGCCAGTAGGGCCGCCGCTGGATTTATTCTATTTTGGCGTCCCGCTGCCGCTTGATGAAGCCAATCAGTCCGTTAGTGGAGGAATCATGGGAGATCACGGCAGAGCTGCCCTCCAGCTCCGGCTCGATTTTCTTGGCCAGCTGCTTCCCCAGCTCCACTCTGCAAGGGAAGGGTGGTGGAGGAGGAGGATGAGTCACCTTCTAGAGACAACCCAGGAGCACAACAGAGACTCCTCAGCAACTCACCCCCACTGGTCAAAGCTGTTGATGTCCCACATGATGCCCTGAACGAAGATCTTGTGCTCATACATGGCTGCAGAGGAAACAGTAGATG